ACAGCTGAGTAAACAGTGCTTCCATTAGGAAGCAAGTATTAGGTAAGGATGGCAGATCAATTGAAGAAGTAGTGAAACTTCATCATTTGAGGTGCTTGGGACATGTGTTACGAATGCCCGACCACTGACTGCCTCGAGGAGCAATGTTTTGTTGTGTGGAGTAGATTGGAAGAAAGTTAGGGGCGGCCAAACTAAAACTTGGCAGAAATCCATGAAGTCACTGACAAGTGGACTGAGTCATGTTGGTAGATGCAGACTGCCTGGTTGTGGTCTGTCAAACAAAAGTCACCGATGATTAGAGACCTTGGACGACTTGGCTCAAACTCATTTGCGATGGCGTAGGTGCATCCATTCTAACCTTTCTAATTCTTCATCATCCCTATCTTTCTCTTTCCAAACTTATGTCATTGAATTATACTTCTCGAATCATTTCTTCGAACTCTTATCTTGTTCATTACTGTTAATACTTCTACTATCTCTGCCACTATGGGATTTGAATTGACAGCTGTATCTCTGTGCTGATGCAGTATGGCAACCTGAACTGATGTACTTGCGTACGAAATTCCAAGTTGTAAATGACAGACAGACTGTCTGACTCTAGTGAACGACTCCAGGAATGGCGCCTTTAATGAAACAACTTCCTACAATTTTGGGCATTTGGGTAGTAGTACCCTAGTCAGTCCACGCATAAATCTATCAAGATACAACTTTGTACTAAAGATTCTGTGTTTAAATGAAACAGAAAACGTAATTTGATCAATGTTTGTTGACATGTTGTCAATTCATTGTTGGCATTTTTAATGATGGTTACAAGGCAGAGTATATTAATAATAGTAGTAGTTTCAGAGAACAAGGAAATCTATCATCTAAAAGATATACATGTTTATAAACAGTTATCTTAATAAGATAATGAAGACTCGTTGGCCAGACACCATCAGCAACAACCTACTGCAAGACAGAACAAACCAGATCCAATCTAAGTAAGAAATTGGAAAGATGTGCTGGAAATGGATGGGACACATACTGCGGAAAGCATCCACCTACCTCGCCAAGCAAGCCGTAAATTGGATACTCCAAAGCTAAAGGAATAGAAGCATATGGAAGAGTGCATTGTACCGACAATTAGAGATAGACATGATAACATTTGACAGCAGTTGGGTAGAACTAGAAAGCACAGTTCAGGACAGAGTAGATTCAAGGCATAAAAAAGTGCATAGTAGTCTTAGTATAAAAATCAATAATTTTAGGAAATTTCATCCAGTTTATGAGTTTTTAACAAAAATAATCATATTTTCTAAATCTAAAAATATGTTCATGTTCGAATGCTATTTTACAGAAAATTGAATTTGATCAATCAAACTGTGAATAGATAATCCTACAGAAGATAAGAGATCCGTTCAATTCAACTGAAAGATAAATACATGATAAGAGAATAAGAATAACAATCTTCCAATTGATTTTCAGAACAACAAGTGATCAATTTCTCTTCGAAATCTTTACAGGCACAAGCGTTGTAAGCAGAGTTGAATGATGACCAGTAGCGAAATCTAGGATGAACGATGTTTTTCCTACTTCAGTCTCATCTGTGGATAGATGTACTTGCCAAATCTCAAAGTCGATTTCAAACAGCTGGTAGAAATAATTTAAACTTCATCGTATTGCACAAATCAATGCCTAATCGGCTTCAGTAACTAAGTGGATAACACTATGAGGTTCAAATTCAAAGCTACTGTGTACGACTACAATAACCAATGGAGATCCTGTTAGGATATTTATCCAATATCCTAAGATAATTATTGGTCAGTTCTTATTGGTTAATTCCTACTGATCAATTTTATAGTCGTCCTAGATATCAATCTCACGTACTCCAATGTTGTTTCCTATTGGTCGCCTTAACTGTCAATGTCACAGACTTTGATGCCGTTTCCTATTCAACCTAAATGTATAAATACGCATTATCTGTAACGTTTTATGATCAGGAACCGGTCCCGGATCTATAGTTCGGGATCCTGATTCTCTTCTTGATTCGGACCTCGTACTTTCTGGATGCTTGTAGAATACATGTTCTACTTCATATCAAGTCTTATTCTTTTATTCAATGGGGGTTGAGACATTTTGATTACAGTAGCATGTCGTGTCACCGGATCCTTGATCCTCGCTCTCGTTTTCCGACTAAGGTAAACTCGCAATAGTATAAGCATCTCAAATGACGTGTTTACTTGCATGTGTGACAGATCCAAACCGTCAGGAAAAGTTGAGGAGATATACGTGCGGACAAATTTGATTACTTCACTCTTACATGAAGTTTATGTTGATAATATTATTATTCAGAAGAATGATAATAAGCTCCACGACTGAACCATCCAACTCACAGAATGAAAATTTTCTTGATCAACCTAATTCATCTTTTCGATTTTAAAAAATTCCAGATAAATACTTCTTCAACTTAACAATATTTTCAATATCATTGAATTTAAGAAATGAGACTCCTCAGCACTGCATATCTACGTCTCCCACTCACAGGAATCGAACCCAGAACCTTCAGTCATGTGTATGAGCACCTAACCTGTAAACCACTAAGTCAGCCTCCATTAGTGTTAATGTCGGATGTTGTAAAACTTAAGACCATTGCCTTTGGCGGATAATTGTATCTTACTCCGACAAGGATTCATCTCCGCTGGTTACAACATTAACACCATCGGATGCTGAGTTAGTGCTCTAGAAGGTTATGCATTCGCATAAGAAACCAAAGGTTCTGGGTTCGATCACTATGCGCGAGGGCCTTATTGGATAGAGGAAGTAAAAAACCTTGAAATCCAATTTAATCGGTAATTAAATAAACACATGGACATTGATCCAATTTATCGATCAGTCGGGAAAATCATCGGCGAGCAACGTCAGTTTAAGGCTCAATAACAGCCAATCAAAAATCGAGGTCAAGTGAACAATCTGTGGCGAAATTCTAATAGTTTACTTTTTCTATCTGAAATTTGAGCTGCTGACGATACTGTGTTCAAGATAACAATAATGAAATCTACACAACCAAAACATCTCCAGCTCATTATGAATGAAACTTCAACTATAACCATCTGCCCAAGTTACAATTTAACTCAAATTACACAGTAAACTATTAAAAAGTAATAGGCATTTATAGAGTAAAGATAAATATGAAATTCTTACAACCGCTTTTTCTTATTGCGAACAAAAAACTAACTCTATGACCGACAGACAAGATAGTTAACATGTTCAATGTCATATTGAACATGGTAGTATGTGTCAATTGTGCGTCAATTGAATGATTATTAATGAGTAGATTTCATGTTTATGAGAGGAAAATGAGAAAATAGGATTAAAAATTTCTATTTTATATTTAGATTCTATGAATTGATTATAATAGATGGTCATTTTTAAACAAAAAAATAAAATGTCTGTCAATTGATTTTAACTGGTTAAACTATTGAAAATTGATATAATTTAGACTTAGTCAAGAAATAGCCGCTTATGCTGAAAGAACATCTAACAGTTATGATTTTATTGTTGTGTTCTTGTTCTGCTTTGTATCTTGTCGACGTGCTAATTAAATTGAGCGGATTTGTGTTGGGGTTAGATTATGTCCAATTTATATCTGGCATCTGTGAACGAATGAATTCAAATAACCTTGAGAAGTTACTTATCAACAACTCGTCACCACCATGAGAAGGGGAAGACTATTTTGACGTAACTAGTTATCCAAGGCGGATAATTAGTTGATACTCAAGCACACAGTTGAACTCCATTGACTTTAGATTCTTACTAGAACTCAGAAATTGGGGGTTGTGGAGAGTGTTGAGTTACTTATTGAAATCATGAATTGATCAATGTTCGATCACCATTAAAAACTTGGAAGAAGCACTGGAAAACTGTTTCATCACACTATGGGACTTATTGATGGTGCACATCTACGAATCGTGCACCCCACAGGATTTGAACTTGGGATCTTTGGTCTTACGCGCGAACGCCTTAGCCAGCATCCAGTGGTGTTACTGTCTAATTCTGAATAATCTAAGTTTTAGGCATGAACTACCGAAGATACTGGGTGATTTTGCGCAGAATCTTAGCCTAATTAGAGAAAGACATAAACACTGTTTTATGCTGGCCGGTGTTCATCAGTGACTATCTCCGTGAGTAATCGTCTGAAAGTGCTAGTGAGAAGTCGTGACCAGTGGAGTTCAAACCCGTTCAGGTATAGACAGTAACTACCGAAGACAGTGTATGACGTTGCGCGAAACTCCTAAATTGATAAGAGTTATAAATTAACACCGTTCGATGCTGGCCGGCTTAATGTTCCAGAAGTTATGCGTTCACGCACAAGACCGACGGTGATCGGTTCGAATACTGCGAGGGGCAGGAGTCGTGAATGCGCGCTGCTGATGAGTCCCGCACAAGTACAAAACGGTCATCCGGTGCTTCTTCCAGGTTTTTAATGGTGAATGATGAAATAAAAAAAATGCATTTTATGTTTCTTGGGGACATTAGATCCCCAGAACCCACTTGGAAAAGATCCTAATTTTGTAATTGGATTTTTATGTTTTCGCGCCAACCGAAGCTCAGTTGATCTTGACCTCACATTACCCACTTGGAAATTCTTTGACTGTCATTGGTTCACGGGTTTTTTTTAGTACGCCATTTTTGTAGCTCTCACCAAGAGCATTTCTATCATTTTATCAAATATGCTTGAGTTGTTGATTGGTAACAACAACCTTTCTCGGTGCTTGTAGAATACATTCTCTACGTCTTATCAAAACGTCTTGATCTAGTTAGCCCAGGACGTGGACAATCGTATTAGCATAGTCTATCGTGTCACTGCATCATTACTCTTCGCTCTTGTTTACCGACTAAAGTGAACTCGTAGTCACAGCATTCAAGCATATCAATAATTGACAAGCATATTCATATTCAACATGAATAAGATTTTTAAAAATTGTTTAACTGAAAAAATCAATATTCGTTTTTTGACTTACTTCATAAAGTCGAATAATATTTGGATGATGTAAACTTTCTAGAATTGATATTTCTTGACTTAATAATCGTCTAGTTGATGCATTCATCTTGCTCTTATCTAATATTTTGATTGCAACACGTTCTTTGAAATGAGAAATAGAGAGAGAGAGAGAGTTAAAGAGAGTGAGCTAGAGAAAAAGAGGGGTAATATGAATATTCATGCATATTTAGATTTGATAGTTAAGGTGTAGAATAAAAGCCACTATTTACAGCGAAAGGTACAATTTAGCTTACCAACAAATTAATCAGGTCTTTTCACACATTTGAAATCATTAGTCAATCATTGTTAAACCACCATTAGAAAGCTGGAATCACTGGATGGCCGTTTCGTCCTGGTATGGGAGTTATCAGCAGTGCTCATCCACGACACCTGCACCTAGTAGGATTCGAACCCGAGACCTTCGGTATTGTGCGCAAACGCCTAACCATCGGACCACTGGGCCGGCACCCGACGGTGTTAATGTCTAACTCTGATTGATCTACGGATTTTTGAGTGACCTTACCCACTTGTCTTTGGTAGTTACTGCCTACATCCGACAGGGTTGAGCTCCATTGGTTACGTCTTCTCAACTAGAACTCCGAGAATTTCCTCACGAATCTAGTCACTAGTGAGTACTATTACGATATTTTGGGGCAGAGTTTTAGAGGTTTTGTGTTTTTACACATTTGAAATCATCATATTCTTCTGGTCACCCATGCAACATGAAGAATCCATTTCGTATAGAATTACTGCTGAGAGCATGATAGCCTTATACATTTGTGAAAAGATGTGGCGATTGCAGGCAAAATAATAAGAAGCGTTTGGTTGTGGAGATTACTACTACTACTACTACTACTACTACTACTCACACTACTACTACTACTACTACTCACACTACTACTACTACTACTACTACTCACACTACTACTACTACCACTAGGTAAAAATAACTGTCCAGTTAGCTGTAATTATCAGTAATTTATTCACGTGCAAGGTCAAAGGTCCTTGGTTCGAATGCTGAAAGCTGCAGGAGTTGTCGATACTCAGCTGCTGATGAGTTCCATACCAGGACGAAACGGCCGTTTTTCAGTGCTTCCAGGTTTCTGAATACATTGTTCAGTCTAACAATGATTCATTCATGATTTCTAGGGAAAACTACGATCTCTATGATACTCTAGTGAGTAGCAATTTAACTCAGGATATGCATTTCTTCACAAAGTAAGCATCAACCTTGGAATGTCGGGTAGATCCAGTTAAGGATAAGTTGCAAATAAGATAAACTGCATATCTTGGATTCTATTTCCAGCTTGAGATCTAAAAGCAGTATCGGATCAATCGACATTGGATGTGCATATAAATCACGAAAAGTAACCGATCAGTTGTAGTCAAAAACATCAGTTGGGATAATTGAAATTTTGCGAATAGAGTGATGGAAATTTATGTTTGTTACACAATGAAATCATCAATCAATCATCATGGATACGCTCTGTTGATGAGTCAGTCCCATACGGCCGTCCAGTGCTTCCATAATTCTAATGGAAGTCTAACAATGACTGACTGATGATTTCAACGTGCAACAAACACTCATCTCCATAATTCTAATTGAATATAGTAAAATGTGCTCACTAGTGACTAGCTTCATCAGGAAATTCTTGGAGTTTTAGTGAGAACACATGACCAGTGGAGTTCAACGCTGTCGGGTGCAGGTAGTAACTACCAAAGTCAAATGGGTGAGGTCGCGCAAAATCTGTAGATTGATCAGCGTTAGACAATAGCACTGTTGAATACCGGCCCAGTGGTCCGAGGGTTAGGAGTTCTCACGCAAGACCGATGGTCCTGGGTTTGAACTCTTTGAGGTGCAGTAGTTGTGGATGCGCATTGCTGAGTCCCGTACCAGGACTTGACGGCCATACAGTGCTTCCAAGTTTCTGATGGTGGTCTAACAATCATTGATTGATGATTTTAGTGTGCAGTAATTCACCGGACGGCCGTTTCGCCTTAGTATGGGACTTTTCAACAGTGCACGTCCACAAATCTTATCACTCATAGGATTTGAACCGAAGAGCATCACTCTTGTGCGAGAACACCTAAATTCTGGACTACTGAGTAGCCACCAAGTGGTGTTAATGTTTAACTTCAACCAATTCACGGTATTGTGCAACCTCATCCACTGTCGTCGGTGAGCACTACTTCTCACCCTAACAGAGTTGAACTCCATTGGTCATTACTTCTCACTAAAACTAGAAGAGACTTGAATGATCAATAAATTATGTGTCCCATAAAAGAATAAATAACAATAAAACAAATTTGAAACATTTAAATAAATTACCGGAAAAGTGTACTTTCATACTACTCAATAAAATGAGAAGTAGTCATTAGTGAAATTGAGAAAATAAATGATAATTTTTTGCGTTGATGAACAAGAAGTTTAGGTTGGCTAATTTCCAGATGACTAGTTGTTTCATCCTTTTATTTCTTTTCATATAAAAAATTTTATACGGTCATCAAGTTTAAGTTTTACCCCTTTAATTAAAAAATCTTAATGAAGCCATGAATCGATCATTGTGGGACTACCATCAATAACTTAGAAGTACTAAACAGCCATTTCGTCTCAGTAGAGGACTCGAAATGGTTCATATCCATGATTTTTACATGTAGGAATCAAACCCGGAACCTTTGATATCGCTGGCGAACTCTTAACCTGTGGATTCGTCATCCAACGGTTATGATATCTAACTTCAATCATTGCAAAATGTTGCTGGAGCATCATCCGTTTACTTCAGCAAGTAACTGCTAAACTCGTCAACTGATATGCTTGAACTATTACGAGTTCACCTTGGTCGGCAAACAAGAGCAAAGACAAATGATCCGAGCGTCTCAAGGCCCTACTAAGTAGACGAAGAAGTCTTGACAAGAGGTAGAAAGTTTATTCTACAAGCACCCAGAAAATATGAGGTTGAAAAGAACGTAAATCGAGTTTATTTATACTTGATTTAAACGTCCTTGAGAGAGCGTACTAAAAAAACATATCAACTAATGACAGTCAAGGATGTAAGCTGAAGTTCAACTGATCAGCCCAAGTTTGAAAGCATAAAATTCCAAAATTAGGACTTGGATCAAATGAATTCACGGGATCTTATGTCCTCAATAGTAAGGACCTCATAGCTGACACGGTTGAACTCCACTGGTCACTTATTTTCACTGGAACACTGGGAATTTCTTCAAGAAGCAAGTTACTGTGAATAATCTGATATTTATTTCAATATAATTTAGTGAAATCGATGGTCGCCGTTTTTGTCCTGCTACAGGACTCTTCATTAGTGAGCACCCACAACTCCTTCCACTCACCGGATTCGAAACGAAGACCTTCAATCTTCTGTGCAAAAACCTAACCTCTAGACCACTGAGCCGGCACCCAGTGATGTTAGTGTGTATGCGTGTGTTAGTGAACTCGATCGTTAATGATAAGTTAATTTTTATATGAAAAGATTAAACTGATCAACACAATTAATAAGTCAATGATTACACACAATGAAATAGTTTATATGAAATTACGTGAGAAATTGAATTTTCCTCCTTAATCTCACTAACTAGATGGAATGATGACACTTGTCACGGAGAAGAGTGGATCAAAAAGAGTTCCTGTGTTTGACAATATGCACAATTTCATAGTTTTAAACCCCTTTTGATACAAGAGAAATTTTTATTAGATATTTCAGAAGCACAGTGGGAATCATCCACTTACTGAATAATTTTAAGGAGTTCAAATGTGTTGACTGACTACGATCAAGAAGATACTAGTGTTCATTAATAACTGTCTACGTAAAATACTTCGGATCCGTTGGCCAGATACTATCTATCAGTAACAGTATATTGTGGAAGAGGACAAACTGGATTTCAGTGGAGGAAGAAATCAGGAAGAAGCTCTGGAAGTGAATAGGACACACATTGAGGAAAGCACTGAACTGCGTCTCAAAAAGACAAGCCCTCACTTGGAACCTTCAATGTCAAGGGAAAAGATGAAGACCAACTAACACATGCTGAGAAATGGAGACAGACATGAGAAGAGTGAACAACAATTGGACAGAACTGGAAAGAAAGGTTTGTAGAATGCTGGTCAGCTAACTATGCTCCATTAGGGGTAACAGTCGTAAGTAAGCAAGTAAGTAAGATTGACTACCGTTGCATAAGTGGTTTCTGAATGAAGTGCACATGTCGAATAATTTGACCAATCAAAAAACACCTTTATTCCAAAGATTACAATTCAACGGGGATGTGGCTACCCATTCCCTGTATGATCGATTAACTAAGGCAATCAGCAGGGCACATCCTACACGGCCAATCACAAGCAGACATCTTATAATCCGACAGTAATATTGACTCAGAATAAGGATTAATTCAAGCTGAGTTGATCTTTTAAGAGTGTATAAACTAATTTGTCCAACTGCATTTTTATTTATTCAAGATAAGATACGGTTGTTATTTGAGATTGATTAAAGGTGCCTATTTACTCTAAGAAATAATTTTTGGTAAAAAACAGCACTGAAGTATTTATGCTGCTTGGAATTGACAAGCATCTTTGGAATTGTGTCCTGAGCATTTGTCACACAAGGTTCATCTGATGTATTAATGAGATGATGGAGAAAATTTGTAGCTGGATGTAGGTGGATGATTGTGGTGGTATTTCGTTCTCTTAGCTGGATGATTTAGTTGTGGAGCTTTCATCGTTCCTCTACTGAACAACATCATCAGCAAAAACTTCAGGTGGAAAAGTGAAGTAGTCGAATTTCTCCACGTTTGACCTGTAACTTGTTCTGTTAACCTCGATCTTGATTGGTTGCTGTTGACCTTTGACCTGTCGTTGTTTGCAACTTTGTTTTGATTACATTCCCCTTTTGATCTGTTTCTTGATCCTATGTTTGACTATGATTTTTTGATAAGTTGATAAATTGGGTCAATGTCGATGTGTTTGTTAATTACTGATTGACCTGAGTACCAAGCTCCTAAAAATTGTCTAATGTTTTTTCTCCTCCTCCTATCCAGTATTTCCACATTGTTCCAATAGAATGAATATTCATAATTATCCGTATGTATTGATATAA